TTCTGAGCTACCTAGATATTATAATCCAGTGCTCTTCATATCGTTTACTCCCTGATAACATCATTTTGCCCTTAATCCAAAGGAATGACTGATGTCATATAGAAGCCCATGGAATAAACCTGGCTCTAGATATGCCTAGAATAACTGAGAAGTATAGCCAACTCTTGGTTATCTGCGAAAGTGTTTAAGCAATTTAACTATCAGCAGCAAACTCTGTGAAGATTATATTCATGTAATCCCTACACAGAAAGACCTGCATAAAGACCTGGGCATGGACCATTTGACAGCTAATTATGCACAGATAACAAGCTTCCTTCCCAGGGCAGGCATCTCTTCCATCCGAGGGCTAACCAGGGTCAAAATTTAACAACTAGTTTCTCAATTGCAGTGGTAAGAAAACACAAGTCATGAGCAAATTAGTGCCTGCAGTGTGATCCAAAGTCTATTTTATTAGAATTCTTAATCAACCATTCTGATATCTCACAAAGTGTGGAAATAGGAAAACTATTGAAAGATCAGAATGCAGCCATATTGTTAAATTGGTTCATTGGCCAACCAGCAATTTGCTAATCTTCCATCAAACTAACTAGCTTTAAAGCTTCCTACAACTTACTACTACATGAGTTTGCTGATGAAACAAGGATGCATCTGGATTTTACTAAGCTATTTTTCCCCAGCTTCCTGAATGAAAATATCTTCTTTTATATATTCACATTACAGGAGATGCAGCTCTTATGGTTTTGTATCAATTTAATATTTCATTAGCTTGTATTTATGCATTTGAAAATGGCAATAAAATGATTTGAATTCTCCCCTTATTGATTTCTATGTGTATTTTTAAAAGATTTGGCAGGAGACAAAAATCTTTTCAGAATGGAAAAGTCCATTCTTCCCAGAGCATTTTAATTCAATTCAGTGAATGATCATGGCCACAGTATGCCTAAATGTGAGGTAGATCATATTTCTTTTTAGGGCCTTTTCTTTTTCAGGTCCTCCTCTTTGGTGTAAATATTTCCTAGGGACCTACTATATCCATGCTTTCTTCACCACCCCTTGCCTTTCTTACTGAAATTTGACTTTCACCAGATGTCTTTATTAAATAAATCCTTGCTAATGAGTTCCTCAAATTGCAGTAGTGCAACAAAGCTCTTAAAGCAAGGGGATGAAATCTTAACATACAGAATTTCAGGTTTTAAATGCAAGAGGGGATTTTGCTATAAAATCATAAGGCTTGCTCTGTCTCTTCACATCACAGAAGTGCCACATTCTCCTGCTGGGTGAAGAGCTGGCTCTCTGGGCTCTCAGTGACCAATCAAACTGACCTGGTTGTTACCGAGGACAAGTCAGTAGGGCTTTTAGATGTGCAACCTTGACGGAAATGGTTTAATTGTTTACAAATAAACGACTGCATTTCAAAACGTGTTTTAAATATTTAGCTCTATATTAAAGGCATACTTTCATTAAGAGTGAGGAACTGAACAAGCCCAAAGTAAGGATGGGTGATAAATGTTCAGGGCTCAAGGAATACCTTGCATATCAACATGTATATCCTAACTCTAACTGAGCAGATAGTTCAGCTTCTTTTTATGTACGAGTAGGTGATCTGCTTTTTTCTTCTTACCTTAAAAGAAAAAGGAAGGAGAGAAAACGGCCTTATTTTTCTAAAATGCTGTACTGAGGGGGATGGGTTAAATGGGTGATGGTGTTAGGGAAGGCACTTGCGATGATCACTGGGTGTTGTATGGAAACGCTGAGTCACTAGAGTCCACACCTGAAACTAATATTACACTGTGTGTTACTTAACTGAAATTTAAATAACAATTGGAGAAAAGAAAAAAAGTTATACTGAGGGTCTAAAAGCACTTAAAGGTAAATTATGGGTTGAGGAGATAATTGTACCCAATATTATTCGGTCATTAAGACAAGAGTTAAGATATTTTTCTGAAAACAATTAAAAAATAAAGTTATATAATGTTTGAAACAATACATTCTACAAACATACTTCTACTTCTTCCAATCTCAGAATTACCTCTTAGTTTCTATTATGCTGTTCAATCATGTAATTTGTATCATTTTAACAAAGCATTTTTGGAAGCAGAAGAGAAGTATGACACTCTACAGATATCTTCAGAAGGTTCTGGGCCCTGGTGGAGAAAGCAAAGCGAAAGGCAGAGTCCAGCCAAGAGCCCTGTTACCTCTGGTGAGCCCAGAGAAACCTGAGTCATCATCTAAACCAGAGATAGAGCATCAAGGCAAAAATTCTAGATTCAAAGACCACAGCATCTGCTCTTTTATAAATTGCTAACTGTGCGGGGAGGAGCGGAGCTGGGAGTGGGAGAGCATAACTGATGGTTCAGTGGGACTCCGGATGGCACAGTGGCCATAGTTCTCTCAGCAATTCATCCCTATGCTGAGAGCGTGATGGCCCCATGTATTAGTCCCACAGCTCTCCTGTGGTAACTCAAAATTGCAGGCATAATGCCTAAACTGGGATAATGGGCCTCCAAAGGTCTGGCCTAGAATTTCCAACCCTATTAGATGAAAGCAAATAGAACAAAAGCAAAAAGGAGTTTGGAGACTAGTCATCTGGCCCAGAAAACACGTGAACCAGTGTTATTGAACCATACAAACAAATAAATTTTAATACTAAAGAAGAAACTAGAGAAGAGCCGGAGCAGCCAAATCACTTTCCTTTAGAAAGAGAATTTCACACAGTAACAATTCATCCTGGGGCAAATTAGAAAGAAATTTGTGCACACTGAAAACAGGGATTAGACTGCAAAGCTGTCAAAGTGTTCACCTGTCCTTTATGTTCTTCTAAAGAACTTAGAATGTCATTCATAGGATATGTGCTAAATAAGCATCGGTTGAGTGATTATGTCAGTGATTGAATGAATAATTAAAAGAATACATTAGTCAATGAACAAGTCTATTTTCCTAAGCCTTAGCCACAGGCAAAAATTCACTCTGCCCAGCAGCTTTTTTTTTTTTTTTTTTTTTAAATAAGCACTTGCTCTCCGTAGACTACAGACTTAGTGAAGTTGTAGTTACGCAAGTTGCCTCCAGGACTCACCACCCTGTCTCTTAAACCTTTTGTTATCAGCCTGGTGCTCCAAGACACAAAGAAGCAGCATTCTTACACACCAGAGTGACTGCCTCATTGCTAAATTCAAAGCTTCTTTTTTCACTTTTTTTTTCTCCCATCCACATCCAGCTTGCTGAAGCAAGTGATAGAATGGAGCATAATCTTTTGTCTCCACAAATCTGTATAATTTAGTAATTGTGAACCTCAAGATATAACTGAAGTGTGCATAAAGTGCATACTTTGTGTAACTCAGTATAATATCCATTTTGAGTCCCCTTTCGGCTTAGTTGTAAAATGTGATCTCAACTAATTTGGGGTGGCCTTCTCGGGCTACTTTAGTCCACTCTTAGGTTTTCTGGAAGCCTCTTAGCCTATCTCCTCACACAGATGTTTCTCCTAGGAGCTCTATCCATGAAGCAAGGAAAAAAAAGGCCTTTGTACTTCTATCCTCTAAAATAGGAGTTATGTCATCTGCCCTGAAGATCAGCTGAGAGAGAAGACTATCTCCTTTTCTCAGGGCCCTAGAATATGATTACAGCTTTCTTCTGTTTTGCTTCTCCCTAATCCTAACCTGGAGAATCTTTAGAAGGTTTGGGAAAAGAAACCTCTTTGTATTTACTTGTAAAAACATAGTCTCTCCAACTAAATGTACCATCTGTACCATGATGCTAAAAAGACTTCATACTCCAAAGCCGAGAATTGATTTATCTTTTTGCTTTCTGCTTTACCATGCTTACCTTCTAGGTATGTGTGCATATCTGATGACATCCTTAGTAAATTTCTCTAAAATAAACTATTCTTTATAAAGGGTTTATTCAATGCATAACAGTAATGCCCTCTGGAAAAATTATACCAGTTTTTGTTAAGTTATTAGCAGTATATGAGAGACCCATTTCCCTACATCCTTGCAAAATACACCGTATTTTAAAAAATATGTATTTCCATTTTTAAATTAAAAATGAAATATTTTGTGTTCTGTACTTATTTCGTTACAAGAAAGCTTAAACATCCTTTCATGAGTTTGTATTTTTTATTACTACGTGTCCATGAGTTCTTGTGCCCATTTTGCTTAGGTCTTTATTGCCATTTAAGAATATTAAAAAATTGTAAGAAATTGAGAATATTTTTTTTCTGGTTTGTTATTTGACTTTCATGATATATGAGATATAGAAACTTACAATTTGTAAATCTGATCTTGTGATTTTTCCATTGGCATTTTTACTTCAGAATTCTTTTTCCATTGCAAGATGAACATTCACCTCTATTTCATTTTAGTTGCTTTATGGTTTTATTTTTATGCTTAAATTTTTGATTGGTTATATTTAGCATAGACCATGAGGTCGGACTCCACATTACTTTCTATCATTTAACCATTATTTGTTTCAGCATCCTTATTTAACACTCCTTTCCCCCTTTGGTCTAAATCCCACACCTATCCTATAACAGAGTTTTACATACGATGGATCTGCTTCTGGACTCTGTTCTACTGTCTCTTACTACAACAGTAAGACACTGCTTTAATCATTCTAGCATCTTAATAACACATAATATCTGATAGGGAGAGTTCTCCTTTATTACTCTTTTTTAAAATTTTGTCAGAATTTTCCTGACTAGTGCATTTATTCTTACAGAGGAAATTTAGAAATCCCACTCTAAATGTTAGTATGATATTTGAGGTCTTAATTGCTCCTTACCCTCCGAACTTGAGCCCCCATTCAATCCATCCGGCACCCTAGTGCATCCTAACCTGCCTTTACTTCATCTACAAACTCAACAAATAATAATGATGATGGCAGTGAGTCCCATTTGGCGTACCTTCAAGTTGGGATGTTAATAAGATGCTAATTTCAGATTGGTCTTTCAGGGAAGAGAATTTACAAGCTCTCCCCTTTAAGAGACGTCACTGTCTTTTCAGAGTGTGGAAGGGGAGCACCATGAGAAAGCGGTGGAACTACTCAAGGCTGCTAAAGACAGCGTCAAGCTGGTGGTACGATATACCCCCAAAGTCCTGGAAGAAATGGAGGCTCGCTTTGAAAAGCTCCGGACTGCCCGGCGTCGGCAGCAGCAACAGTTGCTCATTCAGCAGCAGCAACAGCAGCAGCAGCAACAAACACAGCAAAACCACATGTCATAGGTAAGAAGTGCCATCTTCCACACAAGTGAAGTCCCTTACACATACAAGTTTGTTTCGTTTTTTTTAAACAATTTTTTTAATGTTTTATTTATTTCTGAGAGAGAGAAAGAAAGAGAGAGAGAACGTGAGCAGAGGAGGATTAGAAAGAGAGAGGGAGACACAGAATCTGAAACAGGCTCCAGGCTCTGAGCTACCTGTCAGCACAGAGCCGGACGCGGGACTCGAACCCATGAACCGCGAGATCATGACCTGAGCCGAAGTCAGACGCTTAACCGACTGAGCCACCCAGGCGCACTTGTTTCGGTTTTTAATATAGTTTCTTAGCTGAATTGAAGCTGTTAAGTTCAACAATGCTTCCCGAAAATCAATCAAACAAATAAAATAATGATGATCTCAGAAAATGTAAACAAGACAGTTGCTTACTTTATGTAATTCAGCCATATTTTCTGCAAAGGTAAGATATTTTGGGAAATAATATGCTTGGGAGGGCCAGGTACAGATTATGGGATGCTTTATACAAATCAGGAAAATGCATCCTCTGTGCAACCCAGATCACTGGGCACATGGCCACATGACAAGAGTGTGGGCGGAATTCCAGCCCCACTCACCTCCTTGGCCAGTTGTCTTTGCACAGTATACAAACTAAACAACCATATAGTGCTGGTCTTGGGTAGATCCCTTTAGAATACTGATACAAATTATTGGAAAACTACGCCACTCTGAAGAATGAAGTAGAGACCTTCCAGTGTCTGCTCTAAGAGATTCGAAATTCTCTGTGGGTGTTCACTTAAACTATGACTCTTTTGCCTTTTTTCTAAATTCCACTTTGTGACAAAAATGCTAAGTCAGGTTTTGCTATATGTTTTTAAGAAAATTCAAGAAAAAATGTTAAGGGTATAAGAATCACCATCTTTGAAGTGCCTCTATGTGCGAGGCTCTTTTCACATGTTCTTCCTTATCCTCAGAAAAACCCTTCAAGGTAAGTATCACTAAAGCCCATTTTTTAGATGAATGATATAAAATTGCAATGACTTTGTGGTGTCCTCACAACCACACTTTCAAGCAGCATAGAATTATTTTCCTTTTTGCTCTTGCAGGCATTTCATCTGCCAACATCAGATATTCTGGAATTCTATAAATTCTCCTTGCTATCCTTTGGAAGAGACAGTTAGCAGCATTGCAGACCTCTACACTGTGATGTCTGCAAATGTGATTTTGAAGTGAGGTTCAAGTGTCCTTGGGAAAATGACATTTGAACATTGGGTAATAGTGGTTTTCAGTCATTCAACATCAGATTACTATTTGCACAGCCAGAAACATTGGATGTGATGTGAGACTTTCAGTTGTTTACAACACTCATGTAAAGAAGCTACCTGGGGAAGTATAAAGACTATAGGATTTGTCCTCAGACAGTGCTGAGAAGCCAGTCTTTCTCATATAGCCTGTAAGTGCTGTTGTATATACAACAGTTTGGTGACTTAATCTAAAATCACCTCCATTCATTCTAAAAATTACATTTTGTCAGCAGTACATAGTTATTTGGTAGTGCCACGGACCAGGCACTGCTCAACTGGCTGCAAAAACAGCATGAACAAAGCAAAGTCTTTGCTTTCGTCGTGCTTACATTCTGGTTGGAGGAGATAGTTAGTATACAGGTAAATGAAAATATCCTATTGGAACCAGTACTTCGCAGAGTTAAAAGGGTGCTTTGATAGAGACTGGCTGGATGACAACTTTCAATTAGGTGATCAGGGGAGATGTCTCAAAGGAAGGACATTTAAGCTGAGGTTGAGTGATGAAGGGAAGCCAGAAATGAGCATAAGAGAGGAGGAAATAGCCAGGGCATAGCTCTGAGAGACACTCGTCAGCGACTTGATGTTTGAGGAATAGAACAAAAGCCGGAGTAGTTCGTTAAGAAATAATGAGTGAGGACAGAAGGAAGATGGGGGCCAGGTCGCAGAAAGCTTTTTAAACCACTGAGGGAAGTTAGATTTTAATGCAGTGGAAGCCACTAAAGGTTTTAAGCAAGGGAGTGACATGATCTGATTTATGTTTTTAGAAAGAGTACTCTGGCTGTTCTGAGGAAAATAGATTATTGCAAGGTGAGAGATTATTGCAAACAGAGACTAATTACAAGGCTATTATATAGTAGTCCAGGCAAGAGATAGGGTGGCTTGACCACGATGTTAGGGTTGAGGTGGAATAATAGGAATGCATCTGGAACAAGTCATTTTATCCGTATCCTTCTCCTCTCATATCCGTTCCAAATGTATAGGTATTTTACCTTGGTGCTTTCAGAATCCCTTCAAAGCTCTTTTTTCTAATAATAACAATCCACAAGTCTTTAGTCAAACATGGACACTCTTTCCACTAACCCACGTTTTTCTTCTATCCTCAAAAATGCAGGCTTGTACCGTTTTTCTAATTGATTTGCCACCCTGGCCCAGAATAAAATTACTCCAACGTGTTTTGAAAGAAATATGTTGCCATTCAGACTTCTGAGGTCTTACTAAAAGCTTCCACCATTATGCCCATTCAATCTTTTATCTTTAGAATATCTTTATATTTCCTAGGCCGGGCACTCAATTCCTTCTCTCTGTTACATCAGTCTTCATTAAATCCCTTCAGAGTTTCCTATTGTCTCATCACCAACGACTAACATTTTTTTTTTTAATGTTTTATTTATTTCTAGGAGAGAGAGAGAGAGAGAGACAGCGTGAGCAGGGGAGGATCAGAGAGAGAGGGAGTCACAGACTGAAACAGGCTCCAGGCTCTGAGCTGGCAGTCAGCACAGAGCCCAACGCGGGGCCCGAACCCACGAACCGCGAGATCATGACCTAAGCAAAGTTGGACGCTTAACCGACTAAGCCACCCAGGCGCCCCCGACTAACATTTTTTTTTAATGTGTTTATTTTTGAGAGAAAGAGAAAGAGAAAGAGAGAGTGAGCATGAGTGGGGAAGGGGCAGAAAGAGAGGGAGACACAGAATCCGAAGCAGGCTCCAGGCTCATAAGCTGTCAGCACAGAGCTTGATGTGAGGTTCGAGCTCCCAGACCATAAGATCATGACCAGAGCCAAAGTTGGACGCTTAGCTGACTGACCCATCCAGGAGTCCCAAAGACTAAGATTTTTAATAAAAAGACATTTTCAGACTTTTTTTTTTTTGTGCATGATACGGTGACATGCTACTTAGGTGAACATGAACTTTATATTTACGCCTGCCAAGACAGCAGCATCCCACACACACAATCATGGCCCCTTGAAATGAAAATGTAGTGGCCATCTCAAGTACAAGCCAAGTACAACCAAGTCATGTCATGCATGGATTTTATGGTGAATTCTGTCAAAGAGACCTATATTAGCTCTTGTTCAACTTTTAATTAATTAGATTTTAAGGATTAAATGGGATTTGTTACACTTCCTAACTCATACTATGGCTGCTTTGGGGAAGAAAATTGAAGCTAATTTGACCAATTGGTTTTGAACAGATCTCTGATTTCTTTTTTTTTAAGTTTGACAAGTCAAGCAAAGACCAGGTAAAGCAACATACTTGTCAGATGTTGTCTTATTGTTTATCACGTGAAATACAATTTCTATTCTCTAAATTAGGAATTGTTTAAATCTAAAATGGTGTATGTTACAAAATAACTAGTCATGGTAAGTGGTGCATACAAATGGAAAATAGGTTGAATGCAAGTGGTATGTGGAGAATGTCTGTTATGCCCATTTTTAATTTTAAACTCACCTGAAATAAAACTCAGTTGTTTTTTACCCCCTAACTTTTACATTTGATAATCAGGAAGAGTAAATTACCTTTTCTAAAAGGTAATAGATATAATCTCTCTACAACTGTATTATAGAAACCGAAACAGAGAATAGGCATATAGGTATTTTTACGCTATACCCACTTTCTTGACAAAGAGTGTTACATGTATTCAGCTTGAAGCATCTCATTTTTTATTTTTATTTTTATTTTTTTTACAAATAGTTTATTTTCAAATTAGTTTCCACATAACACTCAGTGCTCATCCCCACAAGTGTCCTCCTCCATGCCCATCCCCCCTCCCCCCCACATCCATCAGTCCTCAGTTTTTGTCAGCATTCAAGAGTCTCTCATGGTTTGCCTCTCCCCCTTTCCCCCACCATTTCCGCCCTTCTTCTCCCTCTTGTTCCTCCGTCAAGTTCCTCTTAATCCTCCTATACGTGCAAACATATGATATTTGTCCTTCTCTGCCTGACTTATTTCGCTCAGCATAACACCCTCAAGGTCCATCCATGTTGCTACACATGGCCAGATTTCATTGTTTCTCATTGCCATGTAGTATTCCATGGTATAGATAAACCACAGCTTCTTGATCCATTCATCTGTTGATGGACACTTAGGCTCTTTCCATGTTTTAGCTATTGTGGAGAGTGCTGCTATGAACATTGGGGTACATGAAGCATCTCATTTTTTAAACACGAATTTGTATACATCAATTTTTCACCCAGACTCTCAAAGAATGAAAGGGGGAGAGAAGAGTAATCTTTCTTGAGTTGTCTCAGAAAAAACTCTGAGGAAATAGAAACTTAAAAGATCGTCAAATTCCTCTGTCCTCTTGGTGCTTGATTGAGGGTGGAGAATTCATGGCATCTGAAATCAGGCAGGATCTTAACATATTTACAAAGTAGTTGGAGTTTGCCAGTGGCCTCACGAACTGTCAGGCCCCCGCTTCCCTTACTTTGTCCACTACCGACTGCTCTATATCCTCCGCCACCACTGCCACCACTGCCATCTTGATGATCCGATCCAGGGAACCACTGCAGAAGTGAGAAGACCAGCCTCAAAGGACACCTTTGATAAAACGGAATCCAAGGAACCCAGAGTGACCAAGTAGAAAACTGGAAGAATAAAAATAACAATCATAGTGCTGGATAACGTCTAGTAAGCAATTAGGGTGTGCCAAGAACTCTTCCAAGTGCTTCCCATATGTGAAATTACTTAATCTTCACAACAACCCAGTAGGTATTAGGTAGTATTTTAAAGCTCATTTTAAAGAAAGAAAAAAGAAAGAAAGAAAGAAAGAAACTGAGGCCAGGTAGGATTTTTTTTAAACTTATACCACATTTCAGAGCTAGTAAGTAAGTGATAGGGCTATGATTCAAACCCAGAAACACAGCTTCTTTCTCTTAACCACTGTGCAACTCTGCCTCTTTCTTCAATGGCACTTCCACTAACATCTATCCCTCCTCACAGACATGTCCCCATAAGCTTTCCAGGAATTCATTTTCACCCTATTTAGAGTTGGAGTTATTCAATTCACCTTTACCACTTATCCCATACCTCAAAGTACTTCTTCACTTCGGTTTTATTAATTTCTTTTCTTTTTTCTTTTTCTTTCTTTCTTTCTTTCTTTCTTTCTTTCTTTCTTTCTTTCTTTCTTTCTTTCTTTCTTTCTTTCTTTCATGTCTGATCTTATTTATTTGTTCCTCTTACAACAATCTCATTTTTGACTGGACTCAGACTCTGAGGTAGAAGCTCTCAGAGAAGACAGCCTCCGTCTCTTGGCACGCTGTTCTTGGCGTTTTTCTGTGGCCTCCTTCATTCTCTTGGCCAAAAGCTTAGCATATTCTGCAGCCTCTTCCTTGTTTTTCTTTGTGCGCTGCTTCTTCAAAGCAATGCGCGGACGTTTGTGGAATGACACATGGAATGACAAGATGCTGAATCTTGGGCGCTTTGGTTCGAGGTTTCTTACCTTCTTTGTTTAGGGGCTTTCTCCAAACATACCGGCGGACATCATCTTCCTTTGAGAGATTGAAAAGCTTGCAGATTCTGCCACCTCTTTTGGGCCCCAGGCAACAAGGCACCGTAGCATCAGTGAGTCCAGGAATATCCTTCTCCCCTTTTTTCATGATGACCAAGCTGAGAATACTGAGATTGGCATCCACAACGCCAGACAGATCTGCACTTTCTTTCTCCAGTCCTCCGTGGTCGGTAGCAGGAATGCCCCTTACTCAGCAGTAGGAGGACACGGCCATGGGTCAAGACACCCTGCTTCATGGGGAAGCCTTGACTCTCATCACCATCAGTGATTCGGACCACGTAACCCTTCCATTCTTCCCCTAAAGCATCAGCACAACTTCTGTGGCCTTTCACTTCTCATAAAAGGTACGAAGTTTGCGTTCACCATCCACTTCAATGAGTTTCTGTCAGCCAGTAGCTGGGAAAGAGATGTTCAGCTTCATCGTGAGGCTGCCTCCGATTTTATTAATTTCTTACTGCTGCCCTAAAAAATTACCGCAAGTTTGGTGGCTTAAAAGAACATAAATTTATTGTCTTATAATTCTACTGGACCAAAGTCTAGCACAGCCTAACTGGGCTTTAGGAGGCTCCAGGGGAAAATTCATTTCCTTGTCTCTACCTGCTTCTAGAGGCTTTCCACATTCCTTGACTCATGGACCCTTCTCCTTCTTCAAAACCAGCAAAGGTAGTTAAGTCCTCACACGGCATTGCTCTGACTTCTGCTTCCTTATCACACCCACTTCCCTGGATCCTTTCCCCTCCTCTATCTTCTCTATATTAATTATAGATCCTACCTGGATAATCCAGGATAATATCCATATTTTAACATCAGCTGTTTAGCAACCTTAATTCCGTCTACACCCTTAATTTCCCTTTAGCATGGAATCTACTAGGTATTAGGACGTGGCTATATTTGAGATCCATTATTCTGCCTACCGCAATGACTCATTTAAAAGTTAATAAAGCAGGGGCACCTGGGTGGCACAGTCACTTAAACATTCGACTCTTGATTTCGGCTCAGGTCATTATCTCATATTTTGTGGGAATGAGCCCTGCAGAGCCTGGTTGGAACTCTCTGCCTCCCTCTCTCTGCCCCTCTCCCTGTCACTCACATGCACTGTCTCTCTCTCTCTCTCTCTCTCTCTCTCTCACTCTGGCTCTAAATAAATAAATAAACATTAAATAAAACTAGCAAAGCAATTTGGTCAATAAAATTTACACTAATTTGGGGAAAAAAAGCTTTTATTTAAAAATATAAAAAGAATTACTAATCTGTTGAATTACAAATCAAGGGAATAAGAGAAATAACAAGAACATTTGGTGCAGATGGTTCTTCCCAGTGGGTATTTCAGTGACCCACATTTTGGAAGCCCAATCACCTCTCAACTGCTGGCACAACCCTCAGTCCTGCCCCCTCCCCTGGATAAATAAAAAGATCCAAGTCTCTTACTAAAATTCACCTGTTCTGAGTCCCATTCCCTTCGGAGGTGTAACTATATAATACATTAATTCATGAAACTTCACTTGGTAATTAGGGGGGCTGTAGAAAGTTATTCAATATAGGACTCAGTAAAATGGTCTGTTAAGTAATAAAAAGGTATGTAGAACTCATAATAAAATACGTGGCAATGTGTGGGCCAATAGTCGTAGGTTAGTAGTAGAATTATAGCAGTAAAATGCCAATAACAGATAATGCTTGTGTGTAATATCTTGTTAGTGACCCCTGCAGAAGCACAACGGCCTTGTGCATGGCTTTCAAGCCACTCTGTAGGCCTCAGTGGCTTTTAGGCCCATCTCTAGAAGGCATGCCAGCTGCAGGGTGTTGATGCAAAACAGGCAGACTGCAAGGCCTGCCGCAACTTGTAAAACTCTGTTTTGTATATGATGCTTCACATTCATTGAAATAAAAATATCTGCAACCTTGAAAAACAAAGATTGGAAACCACTGTTCTCTCTGGAAAGAATGATTCCATAATGGCGGAAGAGGGACAAGTCTTGGGGGAGTGCTCAGGGAGGCTGCCCCTCCAGGTCTGACCATATGGGCAGCTGCCTACTGTTTTCTGCCTGGCTGACCTTGCGGCATAAGAAATGGTCTGATACCCGTTTCAGAGAAGGGATGCTGGTACCCCCAGCCTATCAGAGTGAGGCTTTGCTGGCTGCATCTCAACAGTGCACCAAGAGCACCGCTAATCACCCCAAGAACCACACTGTGAAGGTTATCTATCCTTGGCCTTCACGAAGAAAAGTAGAGTCATCTGGAATCTTGAAGAAGAAGAAATGTTTTACATTTGAAGTGTTTCCAAACTGGTGTTCTGTCTTTCATTTTAGGGAATAACTGTGCTTTTCCATCCTCATTTGATAATTACTTCCTTTGCAAACATCAAACAGTCTTTTTTTTTTTTTTCACATGTGGAAGATTGTGCATGAGTGATAGGGCCTAAAATAATCTTTGCTGTTCTCACATAGCACATCATGCTCTTTTGATATTTTTAGCATATGTTGTTGACAAATGAATACTAATCACTGATTTCCCTTCACTCTTTTCCCTCCTTTCAGGTCCTTAAGGAGAAGCTACTTGATCAAACATCCGATAGTCACAAATTTGAAACCGTGCTTCACAATCCCAGCACATAGTAAAAGGAAAAGACAACACTGATAATTACACCTGTCAAGAAGCTGTGACCACATGGTATATAAATTCTTTACCAAGGCGACTCGACACCTTCTTTGGGCCTGAATTCCCACTGCTCACGTGCTCTTTACACACACAGACCTTCCATGCACTGCAGTGGGAATTCTCAGTGTGTAAAGGGAGCGTTTTCCAGTCTGCAGACTGAAATAGTACAAGAAGAATAAAGTCCATGACTTTCAGATAAATCACCGGGCCAAGATTAAGTGAATCTTTGTTCTATAGCTTTTCCAGAGATTAACAAATCCCTCATTAGGCTATAGTTTAAACTGCATCAGTTCAAGGTTGTCATCACTTAAAAGAAACCTACTCATTGCCCTGTACCCTGACCTCTTCCACATCCATATTGCTGAGTTGTCTGAATTAGAATTCCAGTTAATTGCAACTTCAACCTTTATTCCCCTTATGCTATATTTATACTCTATTCAGGTTCTAGAAGCAATTGGCTTTTTATTTTCTGTTTCCATGAATTTTATTATGCATTAATGGAGAGGGACGATTTTAGCTCAACTTTTGGTTTGCTAGAGGCAAGGATAGAGAACTCTAGTACTGTATATTTTTTTAATTTAAGTATCACTTGTATCTATGATTATTAATTCTAACAGAATATAACATGTATTTATTCCACAAAATATATATTATCAGAATGTATTTGTTACAAACTGAGGTCTTTTCTTACCAAATGTTGTGAATCTGGTAAGAGAATACTAGCAAAAGACCTAGCTTCATGAACTGATCCTCCTAAGATATTTACATATAACCCTGCTCTCAGTATTTTTTTGTTAAGGTTTATATTTTTTGATTGATAACCTCTGAGGAAATCTCAACTCTTTCTATCTACACTGATATGTTGTCATAGAAATTTATTTAAGATATTAAAGCATAAGGCTTTACAAAACTCAATTATGATATATGTTCATACATATACAAATATATGTGTCACACAAAGTTTAGATCAGTTTCCCCAAAGACAAGGTGGATGTTTTTGGCAATCTAAGATCAAAAGTAGTATTCCTTTTAAAATTAGGCATATGTAAATGAGAATATTGATTTTGTGAATGAAAGATGCCGCTCCTTCTAGAAGAAGATGATACCTAATTCATTACACACATTCATATAGGAAAGTAGACAATGAGACATCATCTCTCAGAAAGTATGTGCTGGAAAATGATCTCCTAATAGATCATCACTTTTGACTTATGGTAAATTCTAGCACATAAGTCTGATTTGTGTTCTATTCTACTCATTGGAATGAGTTCCAATTCTACTCATTGGAATGAATAGAAAGCAATAATTATGTGGGTACTTAAATACCTTAGGCACAAAAATGTACCTGAGGAAAGAATAAATGTTCAGTTGAAACATTCTAGATAGATGATTAAAACTGAGGCAAATGTTTGAATGTTTATCTCAAATACAGAATTTGAATCCCCAACACAAATAAATTTTACATTTCAGATGGTCCCCCAAATTAGAAATCTATGAATCTCACTTCACGAGCTATTTCCTGAAAACAAAACAAAACCAATCAGAACTACCCAGAACATTTTATTTTGCCCTGTCAAAGGGTATTATTATCAAGGCCAAGTTCTGCCTACTCTTCGCAGTACATCGCCCAACAGAGAACAAAGGGCAAGGAAGCTAGGAGGTACGCCAGTTTCAACAACCATCCTGAAAACATATCATTTTTTACTAGAGAGAAATGGGGGGGGGGTAGGGTAAGGGGGAGAACCCTGAATGTTATGTAAAATAGGTTTACAAAAGAGATAAGCATGACTAAAGGGAGTGAATGGAGGCTATGTGAGTATTCAGTTTGAAAGAGGTAGTTCTCATTTTTATAAGAAAAATTTAATAAAACATATATTTTAGTTATCATTTAACAAAGAAATATTAAAGCTATTCAGGCAATGCCACAGATTCTCATGAAGGGAAGTCTTTGCACCCTTGTAATGAGAAAATGGTCATTTCAACACATTTCAATGCCTTGTATAAATTTGGAGCTTAAGATATGTTTTCATTTAGCCATAAGTGTATGGTTGATATTAAGTTACCATGTGTTTTCACATCAATATAAATATCATCATGGTGTTACAGAAGCAGCTATCAAATGAGCAGATACCTTATCTTTGTCTTTTCTAGATGTCTTTGTATGTTAGCTTCATTTGCATAATGTTAAATGCTAATAAATATATGCCAAGTCCTTTGTCAAAGTGAAGGGGAAATCCATCACAACTAAGGCATCTAAAGACAGATTACATGTCACAGTGGTCCTACACACAAATGATAAAATGGCCGGTATTTTTTTTTCCAGTAAGATCTGGTTATTGAAAATACAAAACTTCCCTTAAAGTTTTAATCAAAAGTGGTCTCCCTAAGACTGAGAGAGGCCCTTTTGAGGTTCTCTTAAGGTTCACTGAAGCCAGAGGGAAAGGGAAGGAAAATCACCACAACTTGTACTAGTGTTCTTTACTATTAATGATCAAAGTCATATTAAAGACCTACCAGGTTGCTGTTACATGAAGCTCAATCTTCAATATAATAAATAAAATAGATATTCAAAGGTAGGGGGGAAATCTGGTATAACTATTCCTCCGTGATTCTGGTAAATTTTAGTTCTTTCCCCTGGTCAGATTGGTGGCCAGATTTTTCTAAACTCTTTGCTGATTTTGAAGGCCAGTATGCAGGGCATACTTTAGTTTAAAAAAAAAAAGTACATAAACCTTTTCATTTGGAGCATTTGTATTTTGATTCTGTTGTCATTTGAAATAGAACATCGGCATGGAGATAATGAGCTTAAATTACAATTGACTTTGGAAAGAATAACAGACTTTTGTGCTTCCTCAAACATGTAATCAATAGGGAATTCTCTTATTATGTGAACTACCACTATCTTTTAAGACAATGCTAAGATCTAAATGCAAAATCTAGCTTTCAGGGGCTTTTTAAGAATTCAAGGCTGTCTCTGAAGAACTTGGCTAGAGATGGATTACATCAATTTACAAATGCTGTTCTCAACCGTGACAATCAAACTGATGTGATCTCAGTTCATTTTACTCAGCTGTGCCTATAGGAGTCCAAAACGTTGGGATATTTTGTCTACGTTATCTTAAACATCTATAGGTGTTTGTTAATGTGTGAATAATGCCTGAGTTTATCATCTTTTAGCTAGTTTGTGTTTATTATACAGACAGCCTGTTATGAAGGCCAGCTTTAGAGAGCATTGTGAAGTAGAAATCAATGTCCTGAAGATGCAGGGAAGCCAACATTAGACAATATCTCCCAAAAAATGGGACAGTCCTCCCCATTTTGTCCCTCTCTGGATCATAAATTCCTGGAGAGAAAGGTCTGTGACTGCTTTGTGAACTGTCTTATCTCTGGCATCTGGTATGACGCTTGACACACCATAGGTGCTCAGCTGGTGTTTGTTGAATGAATGAACAGTTGGATAGGTTGATAGACAAATGAATGTTGCCTTCAAATAATCAGAAAAAGTTCACCAATTTACAGTGATTGGCACTGTAATTTCTGAATTTCATAGTCAGAACAAGATTGACTCTTTTCATAAATAAATGCTTTTCAGATATATGAATTTGGAATCAATTACTTCAATAGCTTCAAGGACTTGAGGGCATTTAGATAAGGGATAGTGTCTGGGGAGTAAGCTATTTTAACAATGAATAAAGCCCAACCTTTCTGGTTCTTTATGAAAGCTCCCTGAGTTATTTGAAATGGTGATTAAAACATAAAACCCCACTTATGAATTTCATAAAATATTATGTTTTAATTTTTAAAAAGGAAGAGAAGTCATGTCATCAAGCACATTATTAATATCTCTTTCAATATTTACTAATAACACTTCTCTAAGGAGTTCCTAGTAACTGGGGACACATCTCTAAATCTTCTGCTTTCAAAAGATCACTTCTTTCCTATTTGATTTCTAAATGTACCTGAGTTAAAGGTCAATCGCGTAACTATTAAGACTTTTCCACGTGTTTATTCATTTAACAAATATTTATTATGCATCTAGTACATGCTAGGTTCTAGAAATGTGATGGCAAACAAGACGGATCTAGTACCCTCCTGGAGCTTACTGTGAGGAACTCCTCAACACTTACTCTGGCAGAGTTTATTCTCCCTCCGGTCCCTCTTCACAGCCGACAGAAGAAATAAAATCCCTAACTCCATGGAAATCATGCAAGAAAGCCCTGCACACACTTATGTGACCTTGCTTTTCAAACACATCACTCAAAGCTACTGCTCAGTTTGTCCATACACTATACTTAGACCCCAGCAAGGTAGGTAAGTCATTATTTATTCATAACTAACACTTACTGAGCTCTCACTAGCTTCTACTGTGCTTGACACTTTCCATAGACTATATCATTGAATCCCTTCAACAACTCTAGTAGGTTTCATTTTATAGACAAGAAAACCGAAGCACAGTTATGTGACTTGCCCAAGGTCACACAGCTAGCAGATGAAATGGGTATTTGAACCCATGCAGTATAACACAAGAGTTCATGTGTCAAACCATTCAGTATCTGGGGTTTGGGGGACACCATTGCATTAAATATATGAGTCATTAATATAAGTGAGTCACTGTATATAAAAGTGCTTTGAAGTTGTAAAGTAGTATACAAAACATAGTAGTGAAGTTATTAAGGTCAGCAGACCACATCAGTGGCAGAAGGAGACTAAGAACTCAGTCTTATGTTACAGCTTACTCTCATGAAGAACACGTCAAGCCAGGGACACGAATAAAGTACAGAGCCAGGAAATTTCTGACATGTGATAAATATGTCAATGACTTTTCAGAATTATTTGTTAGCCACTGTGTCTATTTGGTGCTACAAGAAACAAACAAAATCCCTTGCTATAAGGGCTTATAATAAATACACAGTGTGGAGCTGAACCACGGATGTTTCACATTAATGGGAAAAGAGCGGGCAGTAGTACTATTTTCTCACCATTGCATGTGATCGCGTCTTTCCAATTGTTTTCTTCATTTTTCTAAAAGAGCTGCAAAATTGTGCAGTGGTTCAACCTGACCAAAGTGGTATTATGCTGCTGGGAAGTAAAAGTATTAGACACCAGACTGGAAGTATTGTCTTCATTATCAAATGACTTTTAAGTTCATTTAAAACATGGATATTGAAAGATGTTTAGATGCTGACGGCGCCTGAATATT